TGCTCATGATGTCAATCACTGGATTGTCTGGTCCAGACCCGATTATTTACAGACCGCCGTCATATAGCTGGAATATTGCTGAGTGCGGCGTTAAACAAAAAAAAAATCAAAGATCGTTTGCCTTTCAGTGACAAGGAAGCGTGTCACCTAACCGTTTTGTTATTGATTCTGTCCCTGGTGTTATTTCAGACTTTGTGATCACGAATTGTGGTGTAGCTGCATTGTATCCGCCACAGGTTGTAATGTCATTATATTATTTCGGGAGTCATGACGCATAACGATACACGACGTCCACTTAAATGGGTCACACGGAGTTGTGAGTAGATGTGCGTTTCCTTATTTGGTTTGTAAATGAAGCTTATTGTCAGTGTGTGCGTTCGTGCGTGTGTCTGTGCGCGTGTGTAATTTCTTACGACTTCCTAATGACTAGTAAATCTTTTGAAAACAAAAAAATATTACCTTGATGATAAAGGTAACGCTATCACATCATTTGAATATAAGGCGAGGTCGTTGCGTAGCTTTGATCGAAAGTAAAACACAAATATTCATAGTAGACCAGTATCCCCACAAACATATGTATGTAGAGCGTATACTTGTAGAGGAGGTATATATATATGTAGAGTGTATACTTGCAGAGGAGGTATATATATATGTAGAGTGTATACTTGTAGAGGAGGTATATCTGTATGAAGAGTGTATACTTGTAGAGGAGGTATATATATATATATGTAGAGTGTATACTTGCAGAGGAGGTATATATATATGTAGAGTGTATACTTGTAGAGGAGGTATATCTGTATGAAGAGTGTATACTTGTAGAGGAGGTATATATATATGTAGAGTGTATACTTGCAGAGGAGGTATATATATATGTAGAGTGTATACTTGTAGAGGAGGTATATCTGTATGAAGAGTGTATACTTGTAGAGGAGGTATATATATATGTATGTAGAGTGTATACTTGTAGAGGAGGTATATCTGTATGAAGAGTGTATACTTGTAGAGGAGGTATATATATATGTAGAGTGTATACTTGCAGAGGAGGTATATATGTATGTAGAGTATACTTGTAGGGAGGAATATATGTATGAAGAGTGTATACTTGTAGAGGAGGTATATATGTATGTAGAGTGTAAACTTGTAGAGGAGGTATTAATGTATATATAGTATATACTTGTAGAGGTATATATGTATATAGAATGTATACTTGTAGAGGGGGTATATGTATGAAGAGTGTATACATGTAGAGGAGGTATATATGTATGTAGAGTGTATACTTGTAGAGGAGGAATATATATATGAAGAGTGTATACTTGTAGAGGAGGTATATATGTATGTAGAGTGTATACTTGTAGAGGAGGTATTTATGTATATATAGTATATACTTGTAGAGGTATATATGTATATAGAATGTATACTTGTAGAGGGGGTATATGTATGAAGAGTGTATACTTGTAGAGGTGTATATGTTTATATAGTATATACTTGTAGAGGCATGTATGTATACAGAGTGTATACTTGTAGAGGTACATATGCATATAGAGTGTATACTTGTAGAGGAGGTATTTATGTATATATAGTATATACTTGTAGAGGTATATATGTATATAGAGTGGTTACTTGTAGAGGTATATATGTATATAGAGTGTATACTTGTAGAGGTATATATGTATATATAGTATATATTTGTAGAGGTATTTATGTATATATAGTATATACTTGTAGAAGTATATATGTATATATAGGATATACTTGTAGAGGTACATATGTATATATATTATATACTTGTAGAGGTATATATGTATATAGAGTGTATACTTGTAGAGGTATATATGTATATAGAGTGTATACTTGCAGAGGTATATATGTATATATAGTATATACTTGTAGAGGTATTTATGTATATATAGTATATACTTGTTGAGGTATATATGTATATATAGTATATACTTGTAGAGGTACACATGTATATATATTATATACTTGTAGAGGTATAGATGTATATATAGTATATACTTGTAGAGGTATATATGCATATATAGTATATACTTGTAGAGGTATATATGTATACAGAGTGTATACTTGTAGAGGTATTTATGTATATATAGTATATACTTGTAGAGGTATATATGTATATATAGTATATACTTGTAGAGGTACATATGTATATATATTATATACTTGTAGAGGTATATATGTATATATAGTTTATACTTGTAGAGGTATATATGTATATATAGTATATACTTGTAGATGTACATATGTATATATAGTATATACTTGTAGAGGTATATATGTATATATAGTATATACTTGTAGAGGCATGTACATGTATGTATACAGAGGGTATACTTGTAGAGGTACATATGTATATGTAGTATATACTTGTAGAGGAGGTATTTATATATATATAGTATATACTTGTAGAAGTATATATGTATATGTAGTATATACTTGTAGAGGTATATATGTATATGTAGTATATACTTGTAGAGGTATATATGTATATATAGTATATACTTGTAGAGGTACATATATATATATATATAGTATATACTTGTAGAGGAACATATGTATATATAGTATATACTTGTAGAGGTATATATGTATATATAGTATATACTTGTAGAGGTATTTATGTATATATAGTATATACTTGTAGAGGTATTTATGTATATATAGTATATACTTGTAGAGGTACATAATTATATATAATATATACTTGTAGAGGTATATATGTATACATAGTATATACTTGTAGAGGTATTTATGTATATATAGTATATACTTGTAGAGGTACATATGTATATATAGTATATACTTGTAGAGGTACATATGTATGTATAGTATATACTTGTAGATGTACATATGTATATATAGTATATACTTGTAGAGGTACATAAGTATATATAGTATATACTTTTAGAGGTATATATGCATATATAGTATATACTTGTAGAGGTATATATGTATATATAGTATATACTTGTAGAGGTATATATGTATATATAGTATTTACTTGTAGAAGTATATATGTATATATAGTATATACTTGTAGAGGTACATATGATTATATAGTATATACTTGTAGAGGTATATATGTATATATAGTATATACTTGTAGAGGTATATATGTATATATAGTATATACTTGTAGAGGTATATATGTATATATAGTATATACTTGTAGAGGTATATATGTATATATAGTATTTACTTGTAGAGGTACATATGTATATATAGTATATACTTGTAGAGGTATATATGTATATATAGTATATACTTGTAGAGGTATATATGTATATATAGTATATATATATATTCAAGTTCGATTTCCCAAACAGTACAACTAAATTTCACACTTGTACTTCATGAAAACAATAATATAAAGAAGTATGTTTTTGTTGCTTTTGGTACAAAAAAAAATCCCTTGCAGTGCCACTGAGTGTCAGGGCGGTTATACCAAAAAGCGTTACTTCAGAATGGAAAATATCTCTAATAATGCGGAAACGGGACCGAATCTGTCATGCAAAAACATAAGCGAATAATGCGTGCTTTACCTAGTAATAATGCATATCTCAACACGACTAGAGGAGGTGTGACCAGTGTAAACGTCTCTTGAGCAAAAATGTATTTTACACACGTTATTATTTATTTATTTTTTGCCCATGATTGTTAAATATATATCTTGGTTCGTTTCAAAACTCTGACAAGACACCTTAATATCACTGGTATCTGTAAGCGCGCCAAAGTGTCACTGGATTGTCTGGTCAACACTCGCTTGTCGGCCACAGTCGTATGGCAGGAGGACAACAAACAAACATTTCTACCTTGAAAATTGCGTGAGTGGCGGGTGCTACTGAAGTTAGTTTATCCAAGATATACTTATCAAGACTGAGTTACGTTTTTCCAGAGAAGGGGCCTTTTGTGTGAATTCACATTTTATCTTCTTCTTTTTTGGTGACATAAAGCGGCCCAAGTGCATGTCTCTTCTTAAGGCTTTATAGTTTATATTCACTCCTATATGAACAAACAAAATTCTAATGTGCCCCATGGCGGGGTATAGTGATGACGCTGTTTTCTTGTTGCAACTGACATATGTACCTCTGTTGTGAGCTTATGCGACATGTGACACATTTGATGCAGTTTGTGAACAGAAGAAAATTAGAAGTTACCAGAAACAGTATTTTTTATGGAAATCTTTTTCATAAAATGTCTTTTCGTTGGTTTAATCATCGCCAATAGACTGGATCCAAGGGAGTCAAATAAATTCAATACCCATAGAAAATGGTCAAATACTCAATGTGACTGATGCCATGTGAGTAAATACTTAATGCTTAAGAAATAACTGATGCCCTTATTCATTCATTTATGTGTTCTGTTTATTCATCAATCAATTATTTATCAATTATATAATCTTTTCACCGGCCTGTCCGCCCCGTCCCCCAGCGACTCATTCATGGGTCAAATACTGGAAAGTGATCGTTTAGCAGGCTAACACATACACGTAGGTAATACTGGTCTATACGGATAAGCCTCTCATCGCGTCACGTTTGGTTATGGAACCATTACGATATGAATTCATGAAATTTGAAACCAGTGGTGTTTAAGTGATCACGTTGTGTCTTTTTGGAAATATTCCAATTTTATTTGTCTTTGGTGTTACCATAGAAACGTATTGAACACCTCATGGTAACTCAGAAACTGTCCATGAAAGTTCACATATATTGTGTAAGGGATCCTAAGTAACTTGCCAAATAGTATTATTTGGACCCCCATAGAAAAGGCCGAAGGACCGGGTTCGATTCCCCACATGGGTACAATGTGAGAAGCCCATTTCTGATGTTCCCCGCAGTGTTATTGCTGGAATATTGCTAAAAGCGACGTAAAACCATACTCGCTCGCTCGCTCTGAGCAGAACGCAAAATAACCACTTTGATATCATATGCCCCTATTACACATAGTAATCTAACGTATACGATGTCCTATGACTGCTTCAGAGTGATGTCGTCGTCACACCTGAACGAGCCCCAGAACCGACAACGTCTTCGGCCGTGGCTGGAGGCAAAGATCAACAGCGGTAACTTCCCCGGCCTGGAGTGGGTTGACCGTGGTCAGTACATCTTCAAGATCCCCTGGAAACATGGGGGGAAACAGGACTGGTCTGAGAGCGACTCACTCATATTCAAGGTAGGTGCTGATGTTCATGTAGTACATGCGAACCGCAAGGTTTTTAGTTTATTTTTATCATCGGTTATTCCGCATCCAAATGACACATACACACATTCCGTCTCTGACTCACTCAACTATCTCCTCCGGAATGCGTTTTGCCACTCGCTCTTTGAGTCAAATACTCATTCCCCCTCTATCTCTATAGCCCCCTCTCCCTCTGTGCCCCACTAACCCTTTCACTTACTCATTCAGTAATACTTTATCTTACCTCACTCAGATAAAAGCGACAAAAGAAATCTCAAGTCATCAGAAATATCCATTGTCCATTGTACGATTCCGTCAATATCATTATCAGGTGTATATGAATCACTATCAACCCACCGTACCTTGTGTATTCCTTGAGCCTGGGGGCGTCCGTGGTCTAGTGGTTAGAGCGTCTGCCTGGGGAGCGGAAGGTCGGTGGTTCGGTTCACGGCCGCGTAATACCATAAGACGATTATAGTACTTGTTGTTACCCTGCCGGATGCTCGGCATTTAAAGGGTTAAGACAAGGACTGGTCGACTTGGAGTTAGTATACTGTGTCTGAGTTTGGTGCCCATGTTTAACTGCGGTATGGTGTCTCATTGGGTATCTCACACTATAAAACCGGCATTAGTCCAGACGTCTGTATAAGTGCAATAACCTTGAACGTGACGTTAAACCCCATTTCACCTCACTTCGCCTTGACATTGAGGTGAACCGCATCACCAGAAGATACAGTGCATTAACTACATGTCATTCATGTTAAAGGAGTGGGCAATTCACACTGGGCGGTTCCGGGACGGGATCGACCAGCCTGACTGGCCGAGTTGGAAGACAAGGCTCCGCTGTGCCCTGAACAAACTTCCTGACATCCAGGAGATCAAGGACATGAGCAACCTGGACGGCAACAGCCCTTTCAGAGTCTACAGGTTCCTGCCAAAGAAAGGTGAGTGAATGTTGGCGACAGCTTCCTTCAACTCCTGTCAAAAAGAGGTGGTGATATGATCCTGCCCTAGAAGGGTGAGTGTTGTTTACATGATCCTGTCCCAGAAGGATCAGTGTTGTACACAGGATCCTGCCCTAGAAGGGTGAGTGTTGTCTACAGGATCCTGCCCTAGAGGGATGGGTGTTGTCTAGAGGATCCTGCCCTAGAGGGATGGGTGTTGTCTACAGGATCCTGACCTAGAGGGGTGAGTGTTGGATACATGATCCTGCCCTAGAAAGGTAAGTGTCACTACAGGATCCTGCCAAGGCAGGGTGAGTGTTGTATACAGGATCCTGTCCAAGAGGGGTGAGTGTCGCTACAGGACCCTGTCCAAGAAAGGTGAGTGTTGTCTGAATGATCCTGCCCTAGAAGGGTGAGTGTTGGATACATGATCCTGCCCTAGAAAGGTGAGTGTTTTCTGCATGATCCTGCCCTAGAAGGATGAGTGTTGGATATATGATCTTGCTCTAGAAGGGTGAGTGTTTTCTAAATGATCCTGCCCTAGAAGGGTGAGTGTTTTCTGCATGATCCTGCCCTAGAAGGATGGGTGTTTTCTGCATGATCCTGTCCTAGAAGGGTGATTGTTGGATATATGATCCTGCCCTAGAAGGGTGAGTTGTTGGATACATGATCCTGCTCTAGAAAGGTGAGTGTTGTCTGAATTATCCTACCCTAGTAAGGTGAGTGTTTTCTGCATGATCCTGTCCTAGAAGGGTGAGTGTTTTCTGCATGATCCTGCCCTAGAAAGCTGAGTGTTGTCTAAATGATCCTGCCCTAGAAGGGTGAGTGTTGTCTGAATTATCCTGCCCTAGAAAGGTGAGTGTTTTCTGCATGATCCTGTCCTAGAAGGGTGAGTGTTTTCTGAATGATCCTGCCCTAGAAGGGTGAGTGTTTTCTGAATGATCCTGTCCTAGAACGGTGAGTGTTTTCTGCATGATCCTGCCCTAGAAGGGTGAGTGTTGGATACATGATCCTGCCCTAGAAGGGTGAGTGTTGGATACATGATCCTGTCCTAGAACGGTGAGTGTTTTCTGCATGATCCTGCCCTAGAAGGGTGAGTGTTGGATACATGATCCTGCTCTAGAAAGATGAGTGTTGTCTGAATTATCCTGCCCTAGAAAGGTGAGTGTTTTCTGCATGATCCTGTCCTAGAAGGGTTAGTGTTTTCTGCATGATCCTGCCCTAGAAGGGTGAGTGTTTTCTGCATGATCCTGCCCTAGAAGGGTGAATGTTTTCTGCATGATCGTGTCCTGGAAGGGTGAGTGTTTTCTGAATGATCCTGCCCTAGAAGGGTGAGTGTTTTCTGCATGATCGTGTCCTGGTAGGGTGAGTGTTTTCTGCATGATCCTGCCCTAGAAAGCTGAGTGTTGTCTGAATGATCCTGCCCTAGAAGGGTGAGTGTTGTCTGAATTATCCTGCCCTAGAAAGCTGAGTGTTGTCTGAATGATCCTGCCCTAGAAGGGTGAGTGTTTTCTGCATGATCCTGCCCTAGAAAGCTGAGTGTTGTCTGAATGATCCTGCCCTAGAAGGGTGAGTGTTTTCTGCATGATCCTGCCCTAGAAGGGTGAGTGTTTTCTACATGATCCTGCCCTAGAAGGATGAGTGATTTCTGCATGATCCTGACCTAGAAGGGTGAGTGTTGGATATATGATCCTGCCCTAGAAAGGTTAGTGTTGTCTGAATGATCCTGCCCTAGAAGGGTGAGTGTTTTATCCACGATCCTGCTCTAGAACGGTGAGTGTTGTCTGAATGATCCTGCCCTAGAAAGGTGAGTGTTTTCTGAATGATCCTGCCCTAGAAGGATGAGTGTTTTCTGCATGATCCTGCCCTAGAAGGATGAGTGTTGGATACACGATCCTACCATAGAAGGGTGAGTGATTTCTGCATGATCCTGCCCTAGAAGGGTGAGTGTTGTCTGAATGATCCTGCCCTAGAAGGGTGAGTGTTTTCTGAATGATCCTGCCCTAGAAAGGTGAGTGTTTTCTGAATGATCCTGTCCTAGAAGGGTGAGTGTTTTCTGCATGATCCTGCCCTAGAAAGCTGAGTGTTGTCTGAATGATCCTGCCCTAGAAGGGTGAGTGTTTTCTGCATGATCCTGCCCGAGAAGGGTGAGTGTTTTCTGAATGATCCTGCCCTAGAAGGATGAATGTTTTCTGCATGATCCTGCCCTAGAAGGGTGAGTGTTGGATACATGATCCTGCTCTAGAAAGGTGAGTGTTGTCTGAATTATCCTGCCCTAGAAAGGTGAGTGTTTTCTGCATGATCCTGTCCTAGAAGGGTGAGTGTTGTCTGAATGATCCTGCCCTAGAAGGGTGAGTGTTTTCTGAATGATCCTGCCCTAGAAGGGTGAGTGTTTTCTACATGATCCTGCCCTAGAAAGCTGAGTGTTGTCTGAATGATCCTGCCCTAGAAGGGTGAGTGTTATCTGAATTATCATGTCCAAGAAGCGTGAGTGTTGGATACATGACCCTGCCCTAAAAGGTGAGTGTTATCGGAATTATCATGTCCAAGAAGGGTGAGTGTTTTATCCATGATCCTGCTCTAGAACGGTGAGTGTTGTCTGAATTATCCTGCCCTAGAAAGGTGAGTGTTTTCTGAATGATCCTGCCCTAGAAGGGTGAGTGTTTTCTGAATGATCCTGCCCTAGAAGGATGAGTGTTTTCTGCATGATCCTGCCCTAGAAGGATGAGTGTTGGATACACGATCCTACCATAGAAGGGTGAGTGATTTCTGCATGATCCTGCCCTAGAAGGGTGAGTGTTTTTTGCATGATCCTGCCCTAGAAGGGTGAGTGTTTTCTGCATGACCCTGCCCTAGAATGTTGAGTGTTTTCTGCAAGACCCTGCCCTAGAAGGGTGAGTGTTTTCTGCATGATCCTGCCCTAGAAGGGTGAGTGTTTTATCCATGATCCTGCTCTAGAAAGATGAGTGTTGTCTGAATGATCCTGCCCTAGAAAGGTGAGTGTTTTCTGCATGATCCTGCCCTAGAAGGGTGAGTGTTTTATCCATGATCCTGCTCTAGAAAGATGAGTGTTTTCTGCATGATCCTGCCCTAGAAGGATGAGTGTTTTCTGCATGACCCTGCCCTAGAAGGGTGAGTGTTTTCTGCATGATCCTGCCCTAGAAGGGTGAGTGTTTTATCCATGATCCTGCTCTAGAAAGATGAGTGTTGTCTGAATGATCCTGCCCTAGAAAGGTGAGTGTTTTCTGAATGATCCTGCCCTAGAAGGGTGAGTGTTTTTTGCATGATCCTGCCCTAGAAGGGTGAGTGTTTTCTGCATGACCCTGCCCTAGAATGTTGAGTGTTTTCTGCAAGACCCTGCCCTAGAAGGATGAGTGTTTTCTGCATGATCCTGCCCTAGAAGGGTGAGTGTTTTCTGCATGACCCTGCCCTAGAAGGGTGAGTGTTTTCTGCATGATCCTGCCCTAGAAGGGTGAGTGTTTTCTGAATGATCCTGCCCTAGAAGGGTGAGTGTTTTCTGAATGATCATGCCCTAGAATGATGAATGTTTTCTGCATGATTCTGCCCTAGAAGGGTGAGTGTTGGATACATGATCCAGCTCTAGAAAGGTGAGTGTTGTCTGAATTATCCTGCCCTAGAAAGGTGAGTGTTTTCTGCATGATCCTGTCCTAGAAGGGTGAGTGTTTTCTGCATGATCCTGCCCTAGAAGGGTGAGTGTTTTCTGCATGATCCTGCCCTAGAAGGGTGAGTGTTTTCTGCCTGATCCTGCCCTAGAAGGGTGAGTGTTTTCTGCATGACCCTGCCCTAGAAGGGTGAGTGTTTTCTGCATGACCCTGCCCTAGAAGGGTGAGTGTTTTCTGCATGATCCTGCCCTAGAAGGGTGAGTGTTGGATACAGGATCATATCCATAAAGGGTAAGTGGATGTTGAAATCTGACAGTTACCTGAGCTAAGGTAACTCAGTGTGGTACTGGAGGGCGTTGCGTGCAACAAGATGGCATGGCCGAGGAACTGTAATGCAATGAGCCAGTCAAGAACTAGAACTTCCCCACACTAACCTGGCCAAACAATTTGAACATCATCTAAGGCTTTTGTAGGTCCCTAATAAACTGCTGTCATGCATGAACACAGGAAACCCACCGCATTTAACAAAAATAATGTTTATATAAAATTATTCATTTACCAGGTCAAGAATCACCTCACCGCCGTAACGGCGTACCACCACGTTATGAGGCTGACGACCACTACGCCCACTCCTCCGCCATTAAACAAGAGGTACGTCCTGATAGTTTATCACATAAGATTTCAGGATTCGACTTTAGCGCTGGGCCTCAGTATTAGGCTCCAGCATGAGACCGTATTACTTCAGTGTATTTGAAGTACTCGAACATTCAATGAAAGACGCTTTACATTCGGAGAAAACCCAACCAGCTACAAGGACTTGGGTATTGGCTGTTCCTTTTCAATGAATGGTTATGTATCGAGACTGATATTCAGTACAGCATGTATTCACAAGAGGTGGATATCTATTTAAGTGTTTCTTTATATTACCAATTGTGATTTTACGAATATTTATGAATATCAAACATACACGGGCATTTCCACCGCGGTCAACCTATTGTGCTGATGACGTCATGAGGTTTTACATCATGAACAATGGATGACGTCATATCGAATTGTCTCAGTAATGCGGCAATTTGATCTTATATCAAAGATATTATATAAGATATCTTATATCTTTCTTATGTGACTGGCTTTTCGATCGAAAGTTTATATTCTCTTTTGAGGGGCGACTGGCCCACTCGTCTAAGGCGCCACATTACGCTGTACAAGCTGTGTCCAGTTCCAGAAACCTATGATTATAGGTTCGAATCACAGATTCGCCCTGGCTACGTTTCTTGGTTTTGTCAGCATTATGCCTATACTCGTAGTAAACACGTGCATCAAACAGGTTTTCCTCCTATATCAAACAGGCTTCCCCCCTACATCAATTAGGCTTTCCTCCTACTTCACGCTGACACGCCGTGATATAACTGAAGTCCCTCACTCACTCAGTATTACGTTTGTAATATGAACATCATGTGTGCACCGAATAAATATGTGAGGTGAGGTGTAATTGGGTTTTACGTCGCGTCCAAGATTATTGCACTTATATAGCGACGTGCATGTACGTGTGTGTGTGTGGCTGCTTGTGCTAGTCCGGACTGATGCCGATTTATAGTGCTAGCACAGAGATACCATGCCGCAGTTTAACACAGTATACTGACTCCGAGCCGACCAGTCCTTGTTTTATCCCCTTAAGCCGAGCGCCAGACAGGGTACCAACAAGCACCATCTTTTAACGTCTTTTGGTATGACGCGGCCGGGGATCGAACCCCGGACCTTCCGCTCTCTGGGTGGACGCTCTACCACTAGACCACGGAGGCTGTCAATAAATATGTAATATGTTAGTAAATTTTAGTACTAGACGAGTGTATTTCCTTGGCGAAAACGTCATACGTGATTATAAGGAATACATTATGTTTTATGCGAGCCTTTGGTGACATATTTTGCTATTCCTGAGATATACTTCTCAAAAGAAGTTAAAGAACACCCGATTCTTTCATACTACTATAGTCCATCTGTCATGCCATGTAACTATAGTAATATGGAAGAATCGGGTTTTCTTTAACTTCTTTTGAGTAGTATATAATATTTACGATGCGGAAACACACGAGGGTAATACGCTTTTGTTCAGGATTAAAGTATGTCAGTAAATGCTGTTATCAGGCTATAATGTCAGTAAAATATATTATCAGAGTAAGGAAGTGTGTTGGTAAATGTTATTAATGTAACAACCTCATTTCCAGATGACCAGCAATATTCCTAAGACAGTATCGGATACTATTTCAGGAGGTAGGTGTAGAATTTGAACTATCTATTAACATATCTATTTATCAAAATTCTAAAGGCTCTTATTACCAACACTTTAAAGAATTACCATAATTTAAAAAGTTCGTTAAAAAAATATATATATTTACCTATTTGAAAATTTCGCACATCATATCATAATAGCCCATTAAAACCGGCCGATGGTGAGGTGAGAGGAGAACATGTCTGTTCACTAGGCAATTCATCTGCTGAGACGAGTTTCACAATATTTTAAGGTGTGAAGCTCTCCTCCAACAACGATTTCTTTATATCCCAAAAAATTGTTATATCGGGCAAAATATGTGTCAAATACGTAAATAATTATTTCCTAAAAATACCCGTCCAGATTTATTCTACATTTAAATACATTATTACATAAATGTGTCTAAATCACTTAAGTATGTTGCCAACTGGACCTTTATTGGTTACATGATGTGTATATATATATGTATACTCTTGTACCACAGTTGGTGGGTTTTCCGAGAAATAAACTTTGACTGTACTGAACAAGAAAGGAGCCGTGGATGTTTGGTATAACTGTACACCTGCCTATGTTGCAGAGAGCGAGACAGGCATCCGAGTCAGCAGTCTGGGGTCGGATCTAGGGGGCATCGATGTCCAAGATCTTATCCCCCTACCGGATAGGAGAGCCCCTTCCGTGGGTGCATCACATGTGACCTACACCCTCAAAGAGGAAGAGATGGATACAGGTGAAGTACTAGTCTCCATACATTAGTGTGTTAAAGGCGGAGTGTACGGTCGGTACTCATACAGTCAAGGGGCGCGCCGCAATTCGCTGTGCAGAGTTGCGTCCCTTGGTCACGCCAGAATCCTCTGATTGTGGGTTCAAATCCCGGTTCGCTCCGATTATGTTTCTGGATTTGACATCACCATACCCGTGTTCGTGGGTGTCACCTAAGTGGTATACGTCTGAGACCTGCATCACTTCGGGCTTTCCTCCCACATCAAGCTAACACGCCGTGATATAACTGGAATATTTTTGAAAGCGGTTTTTTAACCCATCTCACTGGATCACTCATTTAATTCATTCAGAGTTTGAAATTAACCTTGTAAGTCCAACACCCCAAGCCCGCTATACCTTTCGAATAAGCAAAATGTGTCCTGCTTTTTGCAATAGTCAAAAGTCAAGGTAGATGAGAGAAGATATTTACGCAGTGGCCCCAATATATAATATTGTAAGCCACAAATGTCTCAAGGATGAATGCACGAGGTTTTCACAAGTGGAGGTCCCTGTGGTCTTGGGTAGTACAGAAACTTTGATTTTGCAGCGTATATATTACTCTCAATAATAAAAATAGTTGAAGGGTGTATGTACGCGTTTCAAAGAGTTGAAGGGGTTGTTTCAAGATGCGTTTTAGCATTTGGTTTGTGGTTTTAAGTTTCAATGTATTATCTCGTTAGAAGACAACCTTGTGATTGACGAAAGGCCCTACCCTACAGACGCCCATACTGGAGCCCCATCTGCCCACAATCACGGCCACGGCGAGCGGGGGATGCCCATAGCAGACTCGTCCCTTCATCAGCTGATGATGCTAAGACGCCTACACAAGGAGCCTGAACGTAAGTCTGTGTGTAGAGCGCCCGTGGCGCTTCTCGTATGAGACCGATAATTAGAAACAAGGTGGAGTTGTACAACACAACTTTAGCGCTACGACTGTCGTAAGTCTGTTAAGGTGTGGAAGTTACGATCACCTTATATCGGGTTGTACAACGGCTCTCAGGTCCTTAGGTACGGTGGCCCATAAGGGACATGGAGTCCATATTTTAATATTTCACTTACTTTTGTCGTTACCTTTTGCAAATTAACACGATTTGCTTTACAAATATGTGATATATCATGTGTAAAGATGATTTTGAATCGTAGAAAAGTGAAACGAAAATGTCAAAAACTAACATGAAAATGTCAAAAAACAAAAACGAAAATGTCAAAAACTAAAATGAAAATACAAAAAAATGTTTCCACCGCGGTGATAATATTAACACCGCGGTGGAAATAGTCTTCTGTGGTTTCATTTTAGTTTTTGACATTTTCGTTTTGGTTTTTGACATTTTCGTTTTGGTTTTTGACATTTCCATTTTAGTTTTTGACATTTTTGCTTCACATTTCAGCGACTCAATAGCTACTTGAAAGTACATTTTCCGTGTTTTCGGTTGTTTTTAAACATGATTTATTACATATTTGTATGACAATTTGTGTTAATTTGCTAAAGGGTAAGATAAAAGTAAGTGAAACATCAAAAAATTGAAAAACATACTCCATGTCCCTTATGGGCCACCGTACTTAGGGCATGCTCGATTGATCGCCAAAAGTGTGAAATGTGGACACCAAAGAATGGAGCTGCTGGAATATTGCTCGATATAAAGAGAAAGTTGACTATTGGGAAGTTAAAGTCATCCCTATTGTCATATTTCTATCTTGTGGATAATCTTTTTTCACTCTGAATCTTAATGCATAGATTTAAATATGAAACAGATGAGACGGCGTCACTGGCCTCTTATATTTCTAGTTCAGATGGGTAAATCAGTGGAGTGAGTGAGTATGGTTTTACGCCGTTTTTAGCAATATTCCAGCACCAGGAATGGGCTTCACACACTGTACCCATGTCGGGAATCGAACCCGGGTCTTCGGCGTGACGAGCGAACGCTTTAACCACTAGGCTACCCGACCGCCCCGTAAATCAGTGGAAGGGAATTGGCTATGTGATGGTTATTGAATGATATCAGATCATCGATATACCTGAAGCTGGAATATTACTGACTGTGTCGTAAAACGACTTTTATTACCTCCGAGGGCAAACATATTGGGGTTCATATAGCTGGAATATTGCTGAGTGCGGCGTAAAACAACAAACCAACCAACCAAATCACAATAATCATATGTGCCCTAGGGTCATATTACGTCTAGAGGCAACAGTGTATTGTTTCCGTCATTCTGACGGCAATGTTGATGTCATTCGAATCTTATTGTGACGTGAGGTCGGAATGACGTCACACTAGAAACGACGTCATAGCGGAAGATTGTTGGCGTCATTCGTCAAATTGTGGTTCCGCTGCTGTTGCGACTTGCTGTTCGTATGTTTTTAGAGAAAATTCATCTCTGTATGCAGATATTTTCTTCGATAATAAATAGGACATCATATTCGTGTTTATGTCATATTATGTGTCTAAATTCCGATATTAAGAAACTCGTGTCGTATGACATGAACACTCATGTAATGTGCTCTATGTACTCATGTACTAATGTATACTGCACATGTCCCCAGTTCACGAGGTGATCGTCAAGCTCAAGTACCGCCACACAGAGGTAGCCGGACACCACGTGAAGAACCCCATCGGTTGCCGGCTCTTCTACGGGCCCATGATGGACACTATGGTGGAAAACCTACAGGAAGAGGTGAGACCGAGACACTACAGATACTCTGACAGGAGTGCTAGCATCCTCAGGACAGACACGTTTGACCGGGACCAACATGCCCTGAACAAAGCTAACATGTCTGTCTGTCCTGAACAAAGCTAACATGTCTGTCTGTCCTGAACAAAGTTAACATGTCTGTCCATCCTGAACAAAGCTAACATGTCTGTCTGTCCTGAACAAAGCTAACATGCCTGTCTGTGCTGAACAAAGTTAGCATGTCCGTCTGTCCTAAACAAAGCTAACACGTCCGTCCGTCCTGAACAAAGTTAGCATCCCCGTCTGTCCTGAACAAAGCTAACACGTCCGTCTGTCCTGAACAAAGTTAGCATGTCCGTCTGTCCTGAACAAAGCTAACATGTCTGTCTGTGCTGAACAAAGCTCATGTCTGTCTGTCCTGAACAAAGTTGACATGTCCGTCTGTCCTGAACAAAGCTGACATGTCTGTCTCTCCTGAACAAAGCTAACATGTCCGCCTGTGCTGCACAAAGCTAACATGTCTGTCTGTCCTGAACAAAGCTGACATGTCTCTCTGTCCTGAACAAAGCTAACATATCTGTCTGTCCTGAACAAAGCTAACATATCTGTCTGTCCTGAACAAAGCTGACATGTCTGTCTGTCCTGAACAAAGCTAACATGTCTGTCTGTCCTGAACAAAGCTGACATGTCCGTCTGTCCTGAACAAAGCTGACATGTCTGTCTGTCCTGAACAAAGCTGACATGTCCGTCTGTCCTGAACAAAGCTCATGTCTGTCTGTCCTGAACAAAGCTGACATGTCTGTCTGTCCTGAACAAAGCTCATGTCTGTCTGTCCTGAACAAAGCTGACATGTCTGTCTGTCCTGAACAAAATTCATGTCTGTCTGTCCTGAACAAAGCTGACATGTCTGTCTGTCCTGAACAAAGCTGTCATGTCCGTCTGTCCTGAACAAAGCTCATGTCTGTCTGTCCTGAACAAAGCTGACATGTCCGTCTGTCCTGAACAAAGCTCATGTCTGTCTGTCCTGAACAAAGCTGACATGTCTGTCTGTGCTGAACAAAGTTAGCATGTCCGTCTGTCCTGAACAAAGTTAACATGTCCGTCTGTGCTGAACAAAGTTAACATGTCCGTCTGTCCTGAACAAAGCTAACATGTCTGTCTGTGCTGAACAAAGTTACCATGTATGTCTGTCCTGAACAAAGCTTACATGTCTGTCTGTGCTGAACAAAGTTAACATGTCTGTCTGTCCTGAACAAAGCTAACATGTCTGTCTGTCCTGAATAAAGCTGACATGTCCGTCTGTCCTGAACAAAGCTCATGTCTGTCTGTCCTGAACAAAGCTGACATGTCTGTCTGTCCTGAACAAAGCTCATGTCTGTCTGTCCTGAACAAAGCTGACATGTCCGTCTGTCCTGAACAAAGCTCATGTCCGTCTGTCCTGAACAAAGCTGACATGTCTGTCTGTCCTGAACAAAGCTCATGTATGTCTGTCCTGAACAAAGCTGACATGTCTGTCTGTTCTGAACAAAGCTGACATGTCTGTCTGTCCTGAACAAAGCTGACATGTCTGTCTGTCCTGAACAAAGCTCATGTCTGTCTGTCCTGAACAAAGCTGACATGTCCGTCTGTCCTGAACAAAGCTGACATGTCTGTCTGTCCTGAACAAAGCTGACATGTCTGTCTGTCCTGAACAAAGCTCATGTCTGTCTGACCTGAACAAAGCTGACATGTCTGTCTGTCCTGAACAAAGCTGACATGTCTGTCTGTCCTGAACAAAGCTGACATGTCCGTCTGTCCTGAACAAAGCTGACATGTCCGTCTGTCCTGAACAAAGCTGACATGTCTGTCTGTCCTGAACAAAGCTGACATGTCCGTCTGTCCTGAACAAAGCTGACATGTCTGTCTGTCCTGAACAAAGCTCATGTCTGTCTGTCCTGAACAAAGCTGACATGTCTGTCTGTCCTGAACAAAGCTCATGTCTGTCTGTCCTGAACAAAGCTGACATGTCTAGACGTCTGTCCTGAACAAAGCTCATGTCTGTCTGACCTGAACAAAGCTGACATGTCTGTCTGTCCTGAACAAAGCTCATGTCTGTCTGTCCTGAACAAAGCTGACATGTCCGTCTGTCCTGAACAAAGCTGACATGTCCGTCTGTCCTGAACAAAGCTGACATGTCCGTTTGTCCTGAACAAAGCTGACATGTCTCTCTGTCCTGAACAAAGCTAACATATCTGTCTGTCCTGAACAAAGCTAACATATCTGTCTGTGCTGAACAAAGTTAGCATGTCCGTCTGTCCTAAACAAAGCTCATGTCTGTCCGTCCGTCCTGAACAAAGTTAGCATCCCCGTCTGTCCTGAACAAAGCTAACACGTCCGTCTGTCCTGAACAAAGCTCATGTCTGTCTGTCCTGAACAAAGCTGACATGTCCGTCTGTCCTGAACAAAGCTGACATGTCCGTCTGTCCTGAACAAAGCTGACATGTCTCTCTGTCCTGAACAAAGCTAACATATCTGTCTGTCCTGAACAAAGCTAACATATCTGTCTGTCCTGAACAAAGCTGACATGTCTGTCTGTCCTGAACAAAGCTAACATGTCTGTCTGTCCTGAACAAAGCTGACATGTCCGTCTGTCCTGAACAAAGCTGACATGTCCGTCTGTCCTGAACAAAGCTGACATGTCTGTCTGTCCTGAACAAAGCTGACATGTCCGTCTGTCCTGAACAAAGCTCATGTCTGTCTGTCCTGAACAAAGCTGACATGTCTGTCTGTCCTGAACAAAGCTAACATGTCTGTCTGTCCTGAACAAAGCTGACATGTCCGTCTGTCCTGAACAAAGCTGACATGTCCGTCTGTCCTGAACAAAGCTGACATGTCTGTCTGTCCTGAACAAAGCTGACATGTCCGTCTGTCCTGAACAAAGCTCATGTCTGTCTGTCCTGAACAAAGCTGACATGTCTGTCTGTCCTGAACAAAGCTGACATGTCTGTCTGTCCTGAACAAAGCTGACATGTCTGTCTGTCCTGAACAAAATTCATGTCTGTCTGTCCTGAACAAAGCTGACATGTCTGTCTGTGCTGAACAAAGCTGACATGTCCGTCTGTCCTGAACAAAGCTCATGTCTGTCTGTCCTGAACAAAGCTGACATGTCCGTCTGTCCTGAACAAAGCTCATGTCTGTCTGTCCTGAACAAAGCTGACATGTCCGTCTGTCCTGAACAAAGCTCATGTCTGTCTGTCCTGAACAAAGCTGACATGTCTGTCTGTCCTGAACAAAGCTCATGTCTGTCTGTCCTGAACAAAGCTGACATGTCTGTCTGTCCTGAACAAAGCTGACATGTCCGTCTGTCCTGAACAAAGCTCATGTCTGTCTGTCCTGAACAAAGCTGACATGTCTGTCTGTCCTGAACAAAGCTCATGTCTGTCTTTCCTGAACAAAGCTGACATGTCTGTCTGTCCTGAACAAAGCTGACATGTCTGTCTGTCCTGAACAAAGCTCATGTCTGTCTGTCCTGAACAAAGCTGACATGTCTGTCTGTGCTGAACAAAGTTAGCATGTCCGTCTGTCCTGAACAAAGTTAACATGTCCGTCTGTCCTGAACAAAGTTAACATGTCCGTCTGTGCTGAACAAAGTTAACATGTCCGTCTGTCCTGAACAAAGCTAACATGTCTGTCTGTGCTGAACAAAGTTAACATGTCCGTCTGTCCTGAACAAAGCTAACATGTCCGTCTGTCCTGAACAAAGCTCATGTCTGTCTGTCCTGAACAAAGCTGACATGTCTGTCTGTCCTGAACAAAGTTAACTTGTCCGTCTGTCCTGAACAAAGTTAACATGTCCGACTGTCCTGAACAAAGTTAACATGTCTAAGTTACAATCTATCGAAGTTTCCCCTGAATTGCAGTATTGCCGTAAACGTATTTAAAATCACAAGTTTGTGTTTTCTCTCATTGAGAGATACAATTATTTTATACCGTACTGTCTTACTGCGCACACTACGACTGTATAGTGTGCGATGTGACGTTAAATATTAACTCACTCATTATTCCGAAACAAGCGTCCATGCGGTGGTTCATTCTGGTTTTGATAAGCCTCAATAGTGGTCGTCATCAGAATTGATATGTATGGATGAGAACTTTGATGGTGACTGGGGTCACCGGTTGGGAGTGTTTTGTTGAGGAACACACTACCTTGAAATGAGGATTAATGTTTGTTGTTTAACACCGCACTCAGCAATATTTCATCGATATGACGGCGGTCTGTAAATAATCGAGTCAGGACCAAACAATCCACTGCTTGACCCCATTAGCATCGATCTACGCAATGGCATGCATCAACCAAGTCAGCGAGCCTGATTACGCGATCCCGTTAGTCGCCTCTTACGACAAGCATAGTCGCCTTTTACAGCAAGCATGGGTTGCTGAAGACCTATTCTCTACCCGGACCTTCACGGGTCCTTTTTAATGAGGAATGGACAAGGGAAAGTGAGATCAATGGAACTGTGCTTGATAATTTGTAGATGTGGGAAATGTTTACGTGTTATCTTAATAACGCCCAGTAGGTATTCCTGGTTAGAACTGGCCCCCAGCAACCTAGGCAAGTCGTAAGGGAATTTTTAACGGAACGGGTGGCGAGCCTCCGTGACTTTAGTAGATAGTGTGTCTTCGTTCTCGTGACAGCGTCAACCATTGCACATAATATCAATCACTGGTTTGTCCGGTCAAGACTCGATGGTAGCGTCATATATACAGCTGGAATATTGCGGCGTTAAATTACAACGAACAAACCAAATAACATCTGATGTAGGCAACTGGTTAACAAAACAACCCCAAAAGGGCCACACACGAGGATACCTTCAATGTCACTGGAACGTAGAACGTGTGTCAAGTGGTTCTTTGTTCGAGTAAACCGAAGTACTGATATTTGCTCAATGGTCATGAAGTGCCTCGATCGACCAGTAATGGATTAAGTGCACATACTAATGTCAATTGTGCATACAAGTTCAGATTACCATAAACAGGAAATAATACATGGCAATGTCCTTAGGACGTCAAGTGGTTTCAGTGCCCGACAGATGGTATGACGCACGTGGCAAGACAAGCGTGTTTATATTTGTTTTATTCATGATACTAAACTAATACCAGTCATGTGTTTGAGCCTCGGAAAATGTTTCTCCTTGAGGCAAAGTAGTGTTTTATCATGAAAATAATCCTGACTGTTAGCCATATTTGGACAGTAACATGGCAACCCCATTTATTCATACCCAAATAAAAAAAATCATTTTGTCCGAATGTGAGGGTCACTTATGTCAACACATGGTTCAATGTCACTAGATATGCGTCATTAATATATACACATGCTTCATTGTCACCAGACATACGTCATCAACATATACATGGCTCGATGTCACCAGACATACGTCATCAACATACACATGGTTCGATGTCACCAGACATACGTCATCAACATACACATGGTTCGATGTCACCAGACATACGTCATCAACATACACATGGCTCGATGTCACCAGACATACGTCATCAACATACACATGGTTCGATGTCACCAGACATACGTCATCAACATACACATGGTTCGATGTCACCAGACATACGTCATCAACATACACATGGTTCGATGTCACCAGACATACGTCATCAACATACACGTGGCTCGATGTCACCAGACATACGTCATCAACATATACATGGGTCGATGTCACCAGACATACGTCATCAACATATACATGGTTCGATGTCACCAGACATACGTCATTAACATATACATGGCTCGATGTCACCAGACATACGTCATCTACATACACATGGTTCGATGTCACCAGACATACGTCATCAACATACACATGGCTCGATGTCACCAGACATACGTCATCAACATATACATGGTTCGATGTCACCAGACATACGTCATCAACATATACCATGTTCGATGGATCTTTATTGTAACGCCACTAGATCCATGTAATTAATCTGTCTTGTAATTTCACTAGATGTATGACATTAATCTGTATTGTAATGCCACTAGATCCATGTCATTAATCTGTATAGTAACGCCACTAGATCTATGTCATAATCTGTATTGTAATGCCACTAGATCTATGTCATTAATCTGTACTGTAACGCCACTAGATCTATGTCATAATCTGTATTGTAACGCCACTAGATCTATGTCATAATCTGTATTGTAACGCCACTAGATCTATGTCATTAATCTGTACTGTAACGCCACTAGATCTATGACATAAATCTGTATTGTTATGCCACTAGATGTACGGCCCTGCGGGTCTCGACCAGCTGCACTTCCCACTCTGCGACAACATGATCGACAACCACCGACAGAGCACCCTGACGACCCAGCTGCTGAATGTGCTGGACCGTGGTCTCATCCTGGAGTCCGTCAACGGAGACGTATACGCCACGAGGAAGTGCAGGTTGGCCACTTGAGATAATGAGCTGATTGACAATATCCTGCTAGGAGGAAAATCAGTAATATATACACAGCTGTAGGATTGCTTGAGTCATCGTGAAAGTGAACTCATCGTGAAAGTGAACTGGGAAATAACGAATTGTTTCCGGGAGTATCTGACAAAAAAGAAAATATTGTGATTTATTTTGAATATTTTGAGTAGTATGTAGTTGTCGGTGTACCGATTAAACGATAAGTTCAGTCAAAGTAAACACAATTTATGGATACCAACTTATTTGTTTACTGTTAAGGCGACGTTACGATATAGATCCTTGCTGTATAACGGTATTAGTGGGTGGGCGTGCGTAGTGTTTGCGTGTTGGCGTATTTGTTGAGGAGGTGTGTGTGTGGAGGGGTGGGGGGTGGCTGCTTGTACTAGTCCGGACTCATGCCGATTTTATAGTTCTAGCCCACTCAGATACCATGCCGCAGTTTAACACGAATACCCCACTCAGACACAGTATACTGACTCCGAGCCGACCAGTCATTGTTTTAGCCCTTTAATGTCGAGCGCCAGGCAGGGTAACAACAAGTACCATCTTTGAACGTCCTTTGGTATGACGCGGCCGGGGACACTACTTTTAGCAAACACCCATGTAAGATGGTGGCTAAAAATGACAAACAAGAAATGATTATTCGATGGTGATGTATTTGATATGGGTACCATAGATGTGTTTTGGACCTCAAGTTTGCAGCGTTTCGGCAACTGTTTTCAGACTACTAACGTTTTGATAACGTTTGTAAGTTTTTGATCAAATCCAATGTTCAAGTGAATATTCTCTTTCGGCCGGCAGTTTATTTTGACAAATTCGTCACCATATTTTGAACCTGATTCGTGTGGCACCACCCAAAAATGAACGAGAGAGTTTCTGTGCCAAATGAGTGATACGCGAGATTGTAACGGCACTTCCGAAACGAGGCTATAGTGGCGGATGGGTCCAGGGCCTTTTTCATAATAGAATTGGGATTAATATACTCTAAATAACCCAGGATACCTTAAATAGCCTTACATCCCTATCCCCAACTCCCTCATCTTCCTTCTCTGAACGCCTCCGTTGTTCAGTGGATGGAGCGTCTGTCCGGAGAGCGAAAGGTCGGTGGTTGTTGTTACCCCGCCTGGTTCTCGACATTAAGTGAGAGAGTATGGTTTTACGCCGCTTTTAGCAATATTCCAGCAATATCACGGCGGGGGACACCAGAAATGGGCTTCACACATTCTACCCATGTCAGGAATCGAACCCGGGTCTTCGGCGTGACGAGCCAACGCTTTAACCACTAGGCTACCCGACCGCCCTCTCGACATTAAGGGGATAAAACAAGCGCTAGAGTCAGTATGCTGTTTGTGCATCTGAGATATCCATGTTAAACTACGGCATGGTATCTCAGTGGGCTAGCATGATAAAATCGGCATCAGTCCGGACTAGTACAAGCAGCCCCTCCACACACACACACATGTATGCACGTCGATATATAAGTGCAATAATCTTTCAATTGTTCATTCCTCGCCTATTCTTTCTCTCCAGATTAGTCATATTCGTGTCACAGCCCCAAAGTCCCTATGACCAGCCGATGAAGTTGTACCGGAACAAGCCGCCGGTGAAGGTGTTCGACTACCAGGACTACTTCCTCCCAACCCTGCAGCGAGCCCTGAACGGGGAATGTCCACCACCGTCCGCAGAGATCCTCATCGGGTTCGGCCAGGACTGGAAGATGGAGAAACAACCGTATAACAATCTCCTCATCTCTGCAACAGTATTCCACGCCAGAGCCTACCATCAACTCTCTCAGGTAGGGCCTGTTTCACAGCCACACTTTTAAGAGGGTATCGTCATTTTAACGCAGTCAATACGACATTCGAGAGTCGATAGCGGGCCGAGCAATACGACTGTCGTAAATATCTGTGACAACTACGATGGTTTCGCGAAACAGTTACGAATGTCGTAAGAGTAAGTGAGTGAGTGAGTATTGTTTTACGCAGCTTTATGTAAGTGAGTGAGTTGGGTTAAACGCCGCTTTGAACAGAATTCCAGTTATATCACGGCGTGTCAGCTTAATGTGGGAGGAAAGCCCGAAGTGATGCAGGTCTAGAAACAAAATTGGGCCGAATCGGGATTCGAACCCACAATCATAGGTTTCAGGTGTGCCCAAGGGATTCGCCTTAGACGACTGGGCCACCCGTGTCCCCGCGCCTCTTTTAGCAATAATCCAGCAATATCACGGCGGTGGACACCAGAAATGGGCTTCACACATTTGCATTTAAGGTTAAAGACATTTACCCGCCTCTTACAAGTATAGGTTAGTTGGTATTTATAGTCTAACACGGAATCCCCACAGGGACATCCCTATTATTGTAAGTGAGTGAGTATGGTTTTACGCTGCTTTTAGCAATATTCCAGAAATGGGCTTCACATTGTACCACTGTTGGGAATCAAACCCGGGTCTACGGCGTGATGAGGTAACGCTTTGACCACTAGGCTACCCCCGCCCCGCCTTATTATTATTGTAGGGGATGATACCAGGGTGGTAGTCCTCACAATATGCATTTTTAGAAGAGGGCCCTGTAGAAGAATAAAGTATGTTAAAACACATATTCTGATTAAAATCTCACATTTTCAGTCGTGTTTTGTTACTTTCACCTGTGGACGGATACTTCACTCAGATAACATTTATTTATGCGATCTTTATAGGTAAGGGTTTAAATGTCATATTACATGTCACCAATACAGGGTGCACGGGTGGCCCAGTCGTCTAAGGAACTGCAATTCGCCGTGCAGAGTTGCGTCCCTTGGGCACGACAGAAACCTATGATTGTGGGTTCGAATCCCGGTTTACCCCAATCATGTAACGAGGTTTGTCAGCACCATGCCCGTGCTCGTGGGTTTCACCGAAGTGGTAAACGTCTGAGACCTGCATCACTTCGGGCTTTCCTCCCACATTAAGCTGACACACAGTGATATAACTGCAATACTGTTCATAGCGGCGTTAAACCCATCTCACTCACTATCACTAATACACGTGACTCTTGTATGATTGTAGATCCCGCCCGCCCTGCTGGTATCGACTTCCGACGAATACGATCGGTATTTGGACAACTTTAAACAGCTCGGCTTGGACCAGAGATCGTGAGGATCCACTGGACCTGGACCTGGAACTCAAGTTTATCATTGTATATATCAGGACAAGCGCTTGAATCTGGTGTAGTTCCAATCTGTGTGACGTCATGTGTGACGTAGATGTACAGTCATTTCTACCGGTGAACACTTTCATTTATCATCTACGGTACGGGGAAAATACCTGTCTATATAGCAAAGATGAGTTATCAATGTGTTCAACATAAATGCTTCGTATCAACAAAGCCATCAGTGAAATACTAGAATGTGATTTGTCAATATATTGTCGGTATCTCTTAGATGTTCCCTTATATTTTTCCGTGAGCATATTTCATTATTAGGGAAATCGTAAAAACGATGCAGGTGACAAATACTCCAACACATGCTGGACGTAAAACACACGTAAAAAGTTTAAACTGTCATAGGGACCGTATGTTTGTCACAGCCGAACAAAAGATTTTGGTCTTTTCGGAACTTCCTTTGAACTTGATGACAAAATAAAACTATGTGAAGGAACACACCATTGTGTCCCGAACAAAATACCAATACTAATAATCAGGAGGACAAGAGCTCAATTCAATAGGAAAATCCTATAATCGTGCGTTGTCATATCATTACGTAATGCTTCAAATTTACACCTTTAGCAAGTCTAAGTTATTTATATCGAAAAGTTAATTAAAATGAATATTTAGAGAGCACTAAACAACGGAGGAAATCGTGGTCACGTGACATAAAAGGATGCCCTTTGAAGTCACAACTATAATATTTGTTGCTGCGTGTGTTAACCAGTTGAGCACAGTCTCAGTCTCTAGGCGTGTATTACGATGTAACTGCCCACCCTTAAATGACCATTCAAACGGAAACTATAAGAATATTGTATCTCAGGCAATGACGCTCGAGAATGTGGACAGGTGAAAAGAATACCTTGAAGGGGTTTTGGCTCCGAGTTCCGAAAATGTAGTCTCTGCTATGGCCACAGCAATTGCCTGCCAATTTTTCTCTGAAATTATTCCTAAAATATTTGTAAGTTTTTTCGTCATAGTGCTTTTATATATTTGAGTGGAAACTTCATTGAGTTTTAACTCGAACAACTAAACACTTGTTTTAGACGCCCCCTGTTGAGCGTTAATGTGGCCGCAATGTGAAGTGTTACTTGATACTGTGTAGTATGTAAGCATCTATCATTGTTAAAGCGAAATGTGGCAATAGTAGGTATCTTTACTGTGGTAATCTATCATTTTGTTTGTCTCTCAGGGATAAAATTTAAAATCGTTTCGTTATTTCATCGATCAGGTCGTCTGATTTGGTAGTCATCTTTGTGAAGCCGTTTGAAATAAGAACATCGATCTGATTGGCTATTGCGTTTTTACCACAAGGGACATAACTCTTGTTCTACACGGGGCGCCGTCGATAGAGTCAAGAAAAGTGGGTTTGAAATGGCAAGGGTGGAAGCTAGGCTTTGATATAGGCTGGTGGACACTGTTGCCTCGGGAAAGTCCTCTTCCTGGAACAGAGTCCCCCTTTGAAGCAAGTTTTTTTAATTTCATAAAGGTATTGTTTTAGGTGATCAAGTGTCAAGAAAAAAATTAAAATATAAAATATATAAACAATTTCACACTCACATTCATTGGACTCAATGTATGTCGTCCCGCTATAGAAAAAAAAAGTCTCTTTCGAAAGAGAAAATACCCTCTGCATTTCGGACAAATGTTGGGGCGGTCGGGTAGCCTAGTGGTTCCAGCTTCAGGGTGTGAAATGCTGGACTGTCTGACAGATAACTCAATATCTGCTCGAATTGCCAAAATTAAAACAAGGGAATTTGGCCAAGACGTTTAACTTAAGCTTCAGGTATATCGATGATCTGATATTATTCAATAACCATCACATAGCCAATTCCCTTCCACTGATTTACGGGGCGGTCGGGTAGCCTAGTGGTTAAAGCGTTCGCTCGTCATGCCGATGACCCGGGTTCGATTCCCGACATGGGTACAATGTGTGAAGCCCATTTCTGGTGTCCCCCGCCGTTATATTGCTGGAATATTGCTAAAAGCGGCGTAAAACCATACTCACTCACTCAGACAATCGTTATTTCTTTTCCGCATCTGATTTTCAACACATATTCAGAGCACTCGACTATATCCCAAATCCAAAACCGGTAACTATAGTAACTTTTTATTTTGACATTTCCAATTGGCCAATAATGGCCTGTCATAAGCCGTCCGTTACCACTAGCTAAAACACTTCCTGCCCTGCTTGCTCAACGCGATTCCTCTCGGTTCACGTGTAAATGTCGGTTCTTCTTTTTCTTTTTCGTCAGTGACATTACTCTTCTTTAGTAGAAACATGAAACCATGGATTTAAACGTGTATTTTGAGACAGCAACAGGAAAACGCCGACCATTCGTAAGATACCTTACGTCGTGGGAACGAAAAAAAAGACTGAATATTTATGCATTTTGACGTACATGTATAGCGCCGTATAAATTCATGTTTTCTGGTTGTAAGCTTTAATAAGGCAAAACGATGAATTGGTATGGATAACTGCATACCTTTAATTATAGAATATGTACATGTGCCAACGCACTCTCCGACCAAGAGTTCCTTGTGGCCAGCCTAGTACAGTCATCACTGCACCAGAGTGTGGTTCCAGCGTACTCACATACGCGACTTGAATACACGTGCTTACGTCAGTGTGGACTATTTACAGAGAAACCGAGCACTGAGAAATGAAGGTTTGTTGTTTAAAGCCGCACTCAGCAATATTCCAGCTATATGACGGCGGTCTGTAAATAATCGAGTCTGGACCAGACAATCCAGTGATTGACATCATGAGCATCTATCCATGCAATTGGGTCGATGACATGCATCAACCAAGTCAGCGAGCCTGACCACCCTATCCCGTTAGTCGCCTATTACGGGAAGCATGGGTTGCTGAAGACATCTTCTACCCCGGAATCTTCACGGGTAGAGGAATTAAGGATTATCTGTCCCTGGCGAGCTACTATTTTAAGTTCCGGGCCATGGCGAGGAAGTTTCAACATTAATTCTTGAGAGACAGATTCTCCGTAATGGTATACTATAAAAGTTTTTAAAATATATTAAGGGTCACGAAAATACTTTATCATACATTTAAATATGGTATTTTTGTAAAATCAACTTCAACAAATAAAATATTCTCCAAAACTAGGAGACCGCTGTTGGAAGCGAAAGAATACACGCTGGTCAAGTGACAAAAATGGCGCTTTGCGAAACGATCAGTCTCAATTGACGAGTTAAATGAGAAAATTACAGTTCATAACGAAACATTTTCGAGAGAATAACAAACGGCAAGAAGTGATATTAACTCCTTAAATTACCATCTGTCATTACTTTGCCTTGTCAATGTGGAACTAACGTAAAAAGGAGGTCAACTTTTTTGTATACGGGATAAGACACTTACAATAAAGGGAGACAATTTAAGGGGAGTTAACTCTTACGTGAAAATAGTTCCGTCAAAGTGTTATGTTCACTGAAGTGAGATATCAAGTGTTATGTTCACTGCAATGACAATATCGCTTTTCTCAACTACAGAAAAGCTCAGCCTTTCACACTGCAGTGTATAATAAACTGTTATAGTCAACGTTGTATAACAACACATGTATTCAAGTCGTGTGTGGTCCATAATCTGTGTTTCTCGACTACAATATCGTGTTGTCTGTGGTTGTGAGAGAGCCCTAGATTGTCATGTGCACTTCACGTTGATTAAAAACTTCTTTAACATTTTCGTTATGTTGTCTGTGGCTAAGTGAGTGAGTGAGTTGGATATAATTCCGCTTTTAACAGTATTCCAGTTATGTCATTGCGTGTCACTTTCATGTGGGAGGAAATCCCGATGTGAAGCAGGTCTCAGACGTCACCACTTTGGTGAAACGTATGAGCACGAGTATTTTGCTGACAAACCTCGAAACATAACCGGGATTCGAACCCACAATCACGGGTGTTTGGCGCGCCCAAGGGACGCAACTCTGCACATCGAATGGCGACGCTTGAGATGAATGGGCCACTCGTGACCACCATAAAGCTACACCATTAGTGAAAAGGTTAATTATTTATCAGGTTATGAGCTGAAATACGTTATATGACAAGAAAATTCAAATGTTTTAGGCTTTGTTTGTTTTTTTCGGTATGGTTAATAAACTATGAATGGGGAACAACGCTTTCCTCTTCCCTCTAAGAAATAACGTCGTCCAATTTACGACTAATCAAGTTGCGAGCACATGTTCGAATCTACAGAGATGACGTCATGATAGAACACTGTTTTATCGTGAAAAATAAGATAGCTACGCGATAAGCGCAAAGAACAATGAAGAACAAATTGTTCTATAAGAACGTCATTCCTGGAGATTCGAACATACTCGGAACTTGATGTCGTTTATTGGGGGACGTTTTTTAAGAGGGGAGTGTCTAGTGAGTTCCCCAAAGCTGGACAACGCAGATAAACGCGAAGGCTGAACGATCGCATCCAATAGGAGGAGGTATGACGGTATTAGGAGCAAAGGTACAGGTAATTGACATCAGCATTTTGAGAATATGCGGGAAATAGCCACCTGTGCCCAAAATGGACTTGTCCAATATTGCATAGGTTGGATGCTATTCAGGGAGTCATCATTATTTAAATACGGGTAAATATGGTTAAAGCTTGTACACTTTATTATCGCCCTTAAAGAGGCTGTACATGATGTTGATATCTCATATAGTTTTTGTTTGTTTGTTGTTTAACGCCGCACTCAGCAATATTCCAGCTATATGACGGCGGTTTGTAAATAATCGAGTCTGGACCCGACAATCCAGGATTGACATCATGAACATCGATCCACGCAATTGGGATACGATGACATGCATCAACCAAGTCAGCGTGCCTGACCACCCGATCACGTTAGTCGTCTCTTACGGAAAGCACAGTCGCCTTTTACGGTAGGCATGGGTTGCTGAAGACCTATTCTACCGGCGGTTTGTAAATAATCGAGTCTGGACCCGACAATCCAGGATTGACATCATGCGCATCCATCCAAGCAATTGGGATCGATGACATGCATCAACCAGCGAGCCTTACCACCCGATCCCGTTAGTCGCCTCTTACGACAAGCATAGTCGCGTGATACTAGTATCTCATATAAGAAATAAACGACGAGTGGGAGCTGTTTATCGACCAACACAAGCACAATTCGTTCTTTGCTAGTTATCGCGTACTTATCTCATACAAAAACATAGAGGGGGGGGAATTTGCAAGTTTGTATCTATATATTGCATTCAGCATCATTAAACAATGTCGCCTTGAGCATATACTCAATGCCTCGACTTCACCAACTAACAAACAAAATTAAGATATCTATCCTACCGCAATAATATTAGAGTGAGTGAGTGAGTCTTGTTTCACGCAGACATGGGTACAATGTGTGAAGTCCATTTCTGGTGTCCCCCGTCGGGTAGCCTAGTGGTTAAAGCGTTCGCTCGTCAGGCCCAAAACCCGGGTTCGATTCCCAACATGGGTACAATGTGTGAGGCCCATTTCTAGTGTCCGTCACCGTGATATTGCTAGAATATTGCTAAAAGCGGCTCAAAACCATACTCACTCACTCACACTCGCTCATTACATGGAGGCCAGTTTACATGTGAAAATTTCATTTCACCCTCGATTCCGAGCCAGGGCCTATCTCGGAAGCTCGACAACTGTTGCGGCCAGGTGATTATTATTATTGTCATTGTCATTTCCCCTGCAAGCACATTTTATACTGCCATTGCATATTGTACAACAATTCTATTGTGTACTGCCATTGCAATTGCTGTGCAGTAATTTGTATTGATTTGTGAACCTAGTTAATTTTGTAATGCAATTGTTAATTGTACACCATTTGTTATTTGTTGTATGATAAGATGCTACTTAATGGACATTTCGCAACACAGTCAACAAGGGTTTCAGGCATATCACAAACCTGGCATACAACACAGTCAACAAGGGTTTCAGGCATATCACAAACCTGGCATACAACACAGTCAACAAGGGTTTCAGGCATATCACAAACCTGGCATACAACACAGTCAACAAGGGTTTCAGGCATATCACAAACCTGGCATACAACACCGGTCAACAAGGGTTTCAGGCATATCACAAACCTGGCATACAACACAGTCAACAATGGTTTCAGGCATATCACAAACCTGGCATACAACACAGTCAACAATGGTTTCAGGCATATCACAAACCTGGAATACAACACAGTCAACAAGGGTTTCAGGCATATCACAAACCTGGCATACAACACAGTCAACAAGGGTTTCAGGCATATCACAAACCTGGCATACAACACAGTCAACAAGGGTTTCAGGCATATCATAAACCTGGCATATAACACCGGTCAACAAGGGTTTCAGGCATATCACAAACCTGGCATATAACGCCGGTCAACAAGGGTTTCAGGCATATCACAAACCTGGCATACAACACAGCCAACAAGGGTTTCAGGCATATCACAAACCTGGCATACAACACAGTCAACAAGGGTTTCAGGCATATCACAAACCTGGCATACAACACAGTCACCAAGGGTTTCAGGCATATCACAAACCTGGCATACAACACAGTCAACAAGGGTTTCAGGCATATCACAAACCTGGCATACAACACAGTCAACAAGGGTTTCAGGCATATCACAAACCTGGCATACAACACAGTCAACAAGGGTTTCAGGCATATCACAAACCTGGCATACAACACAGTCAACAAGGGTTTCAGGCATATCACAAACCTGGCATACAACACAGTCAACAAGGGTTTCAGGCATATCACAAACCTGGCATACAACACCGGTCAACAATGGTTTCAGGCATATCACAAACCTGGCATACAACACAGTCAACAAGGGTTTCAGGCATATCACAAACCTGG